CTTTATCTTTATTGCTTGCTTACGTGTGTTAGAACTCTATATGTGCTTATCTAGTATAAAGGTCTCGACTTTGTTCAAAGCATGATGATTTAGTGTTGAAAGCTCATGTTAGATTACCTAGGATCACTATGCTTGCATGTTTTCTCTTTGTTTATTTTCTTTTTCTTGAGTCGTGGAGATTCCGGTAGACCAAAGTTTCGACTTTCTCTCTATATTCGCATCTTTCATCATTTGTTCTAGATTCTTAGTTTAATTTCATGCAAATCCAATCCCTTCAAACGAGTAGAATGTGTAGTACCTTATTTTTTGTTATGTGACTTTGACGACTAGGTAGTGGACGAAGCTCCGAATAACCTTCCTTTGAGAACGACCCGAGGTCGAGTAGCTCGGTTACTACTTACCCCAATAAATACTACAAAACAAATATCTATGGGAATTACTGTTGGGTCTCCATTGGAATATATTTTCATTAGAATTTCATCAATTGCTTATAGTTCATTTAACTGATGCAACCCATGCACATAGACCCTATGTAATAAAGACTAGCTACATCGAATATCCAGAACGATAGTGATATCAAGTCCTGGGTTACTAGAATCGAAATAACACAATTGTTGAAGTCAATGACAATGGGAAGAAAAAAAAACTCAACATCCGACGACAAGAACAATATCAAAAGAAGAGCTTGATGAAACGTAGGTATTACCCGTAGAGAGCACTCAACTATGTTAGAACACAAAATGTTTATAATTTTCAATCTATATTGCAACACCAGAATATGTTGAAATAGCGAAAGCACAAAGCAAGGGATGTAAACTGGGGAGCGTCCCACTACCCTTCGGAGATCTTTCATTGATAAAGCGATTATGTAGACGTGTATAGTTTGGACTTACAAATCTAGAACTCTCTTCTAGCCTAGCCACAATTACACTCGATTCTACCAATACTTCTTTGGCCACGTTCCGTGGACTTTACACACTCGAATTTCTCGAGCAATCCAGTACTTAATCCCTAAGTACTAAAAACAAGATGTTTGAATAAATAATGAAAACTAAACAAAAGTAATTTCAGTTCTTCGATGAAGTAAGAACACCGAAAAACTGAACAGCGAAACAAAATGAAACAAGGAAAACTTGAACTCTCAATTGAAGCTCGAGCAATATATGAATGATAATTAACTTAGCAGCGTTCAATTGATCTTCAAGTTGGGTATTTAAAGACTCTTTAGACGTGTAGTCTTCTCCAAGTAATCTTCCCTTTCTTTCTGATTTCCTTCAAAGAATTTAGGTTGAAACATGGTAAGTGAATATCTTTTTTTCTCTCTCTCTCTCCAAAGATCTCCTCTTCGTGCATGCTTCAATCCACGTCCATGCATATCCAAAATCATACAATAAATAACATATAATAAGATCATGCAATTTTTTCCTAAACATACATATATATAAAAACTAAAAAGCCAAAATATACAAATATATTAAATAAAAGAAGATCTTCCTTTAATATTCTTTTGCTTGAATGGATCTTCAATATATTATTTTTGAATTTATTGACAAAAATAAATCTTTCACTTCATATGAAGATACGAGAATTTGTAACTAATTTGTGAATATTGATGATCTAGCTTTAGAAAGTGTAAAATGGATGCTGGGAGAAATCAAAATCTCTCTAATATCCTACAAAATGGATCCATGGATCTTCAATATATTATTTTTTAGATTGTTTTCAAGCTGAGTTGGTGTGTGATTTTCCAACTGTTTTCAAGCTAGGAGTTGATATTTGTCAAAACTATCTAGATTAGGCCATATATTCACATAATTTAAGTGGAAGTTACAAATCGAGAAAATGGTAGTTAATTTTTCTCACATTTATTTTCCTTCTGATTTTGTTATTATAGTTTTACTTGAACTATGATATCCGGGTAAATTAAAAAAGTAATATAACTCAACGAAGAGTCAACTTTGCAGTTGCATCTGTGCCACACTTTCTTAAAATCGTATCTGAACACGAGATTTTTGTTGATTTCGGTCTTCTCCTTTTATTTAATTTAGGTGCCACTGACAATTTTCATAATATAATTTTCAACAAATATAGATATTTTTATATTAAATATTTTACAAAAATTACGTAAAAATATAATAATTAAATATAAAATAATTTATAATTTATTTTTATTAAAAAATAAGACAAATTAACAACTAGATCGTCTTTACCTAAAAATGATCTAATTAGTCTTAAATTCACGCACCTTAAATTTATTTTAATCTTTTCATTAGAAAAGTTTGGTCAGGCGCAACTCGAACGTTCGCTCACACAGGACACGTGTCCATGAAAATGGAACAAGCACTTTGATGATATTCGTCAAAATTTACCATCAAAATATGAAGAAGAAAAAACTTGTGGCCAAATATTTTCGGGCATTATTAAATTCCTCAAACGATAAACATGTGGTCTGCAACCGCCCATTCGCTTTCTCACTCTGTACGTATAGGCCTGTATGTATATCGACTCTCTCTCTAAAGCCGGAATACACGTGGCGGCGTCGATGGGCGAGTGGTGGTGACGTGGATATAAAGTGCAAAAAGGAACAAGTGGCCGCCACCTGTTGGGCCCCACAGAGTTAAATGGCAATAGGGGAAAAATATAAATGGGAGACACGTCATCTTTCTGAATTCTCGTCCACACCTTTGTAGTTTGGTTGTTTGTAGCTTACTTTTCTCTCTCTAGAGTTTATTTGGATAACGATATTT